GTTGCTGGAGCATTTAGGAGGCATCTGGCTCGCTCTTCAGCAAACTGGCACCATCGGAAAATTACGCTCCCCTCCCGGTCAACGCATTAAACTTAAATGTTTTCTGTAACCAGCGCACCCTGTGCCTGCTTTAATTCCCAACTGATTTATCTCCCCCAATTTATTACCAGGCCTCAACTCAATCAATACTGGCTGAGACTCAGCTGGAAGGGGAGTCCGATTTATGCACGCAGACACTCCTGGGGTGATTTGGGATTCTACTCCTGCAGCAGAGAGCCCCTGATCCCCCAAACGGATGGGTCGGCCTCACTGGAGGGCACAGCAGCCTCGGCATCCAAATGACCAAGCCGAGATCGGCCAGACCCTCTGCAGCCACAGGCACCCTCTCCCTTCTCGAGGGGCCCCGCAGTCCTTGCCCCTGACCTGCCCTGGGCTGGCCCTGACCTCGGGACCCCCTGGGAAAGAAAAGTTTCACAAACTACAAAGGCTCTGCGTTAATCTGCACTGAAACAGGCCCTGGGAAGGGGGAAGACATGTGTGCCCTGTGTGAATTGTGTCTTACTGCACTAGGATCAGGGTCTGAGCTAGATCCTTATCTTTCACTCTGGACATATAAAAACAGGATGTTGGGGTTTCTTGTTCCCAAGGATTAAGCAAAACTTTTGCTAAAAAAAAAAGAAAAGAAAAGAAAAGAAAAAGATGCCAGAAGGATTTTTTCCTTCCAGAAGGAGGGTCATGGGGTCCAAAACCAAATATAAGAGGTCAGGGTCTTCCCTCTGGAACTTTCTCTGGCAAACGTTCAATAGAATCATATCCGCTGGTTCTAATTCTAAACTTCCTGGAGGAGGAACAGCAGGAGGCCTTGCTCAATCTATAGCCTTTCTCAAAATAAATCACCAGCAGGTCATGGCAGCAGTAATTTTTCAGATATCACTTGCTATCTCCATGTTTTCCCCTCGCCCCTCTCTTTAAGCAGACTTGGAAATGCCATTTAGGCAGGGAGAAAACTTTTTAAAAGCTCAAACCATTCATCTAGCACCACATGCTTTCAGGGACCCACAAGTCACATAAGTGGGTGGCAAGGCTGGGTGGAAGGGGCAGTGAACAGGTGCACGCATCCTTTGCCATCAGGCCATGGGAGGACCTCTACGCGCCCCAGGACCACTGGTATCCGGTCAATGGCTCCAATCCCACCCCCAGAGAAGCAGGGTCCATGAGGTTGACCAAAGCTCAATTTATAGCAGTCCAACGGATGAGGCTCCCTGAGTCAAAATTCATTTTGCATCAAGGCAATATTTTCCCTTTTGCTTTTTCCCTCATGACACCACCTGCCGCCACACACACACACCCCACAGTGTGGGAAGCAAGCATTTGGTGCCGCTGCCCCCGAGAAGGAAGGATGCTTCGCCAAGTGCAGGAAAACCAGTCGGTTCTCAGTTTTTGAGTCTCAAAGTCTCATCCTTAGAGAAGTGGGGAGCCGTCTGGAAGAGCAGGGCTGGGGGGCATTTCTGGAGAGGAAAATGAGCTTCATAGAAAACTTACCCTCCCACCTCATCCATCCCTGAGATAGGGAAAGTTTCTCCAGAAGGGGGTTATTAGGCAGAAGGGGCCCTCTTTTCAGAAAGAAGCCCCTTGGAAGAGGACAAGCCCCCCCACAAGGACATGGCTTGCCCAGAGTTTCTAAGACACGGGACATGGTCGGCCTCCTGGAGCTGCTGTGGCAAGAAGAAGGAGCAACAGGGGGTGCCAGGGTAACCCAGGATGTCATGGGAGTAACAGCATGGGGTCCTGCAGCTTCCTGGGCCCCAAGTAGGTCCAAATGCTGGGGGAGCCTCTCAATGATCCCACTGTCCCTGAGAATGGAAGGAAAGTGGCCCAGAGACAGCAGGACCAAGCAGAGTCCTGCAAACATCCAAGGGATCATTTAGCAGTCATGTGCATGGAAGAGTCTGAGGGTCAGGCAGGACCACCTGTCTCAGTGCAGCCAGCTGCTCAGCCCTGCTGCCTAAGCACGCCACAAATGCCATAGAGCACAGGGGGGAAAAAAGTTGCTCCTCCATCTCATCCCTTTGGAGGACCTGGATCAGACCCCCACCAAGCCTGGTACTGTGGTTCCCTCAGGGCAGTGCTGCCATTTTGCAAAACGTGATGGAAACCTCTGGAAGAGCAGCGGCGTTCAAGTTTGCACACGCAAATCTCCTGGGATTTGTTGAAACGCACACCGATTCAGCAGGTCTGGACTGGGGACTGAGATTTGCATTTCTAACAAACTCCTGGGAGGGGACTGTGGGGGGACTGCACTGGGAGTAACAGGGTTCAAGGAGGCCTCTGGGGAAGACCTGAGGCCTAGAACGGGTTAGCACGATCACAGAGGTGTGCCCACCCGCCAAGACACAAGCGCTGCCTCACTCGGGGCTGCCGGAACATTCTCCACCTGGGAATTAAAGTTCACTGAAAAAGCAGAGAACCCCGGTTTTAAAATGTGAGCCCGGTTCTTAAATTAGATTGTGGCCAGGAGTGCGCAAGTCTGTAAATTCACTAAAAATCCTTGAATTGTACGCCTAAAACAGTTTTAATTTGGGGTTATGTAAATTATTTCTCAATAAGCCTGTGGTTTTTTTTTTTAAGTGTGCCACACTCCGGTGGCCAAATTTGAGATTATCCAAGCATCTAGATTAAAGTAATAACAACTGTAATTGGTTGAAACACATTGAAGATATAAATATCCAGGCATCCATAATGATTAAGGACTGAGCATTTTTCCCTGCATCTCGGGCTGGAACTGCCTTTTAGGAAAACCAGACAGCTCCAGAGGATGAAAGAAAGCTCATTTTTATAGAGGAATGCCAGCTAATGAAATGTAGAAGGAATGATGGAAAGTCACCAATTTGCAACCCCCACGGCAGACCTGTGTCAGTCGGGGGGTAGGAGTGTGCTGAAGGGTGAATAGAGGCGAGGCCACAATGAGATACGACTCCGCACCCACCAGGATGGCTCTGATCACGGCAGACCTCGGTGAGGAAGTGAAACCCCTCACACCCGCTGGCGGGAACGTAACACGGTGCAGCTGCTTGGGGAAACTGTCTAGTGGTTCTTCGGATGATGCACCACAGAGTTCTCGTGTGACCCAGCAATTCCACTCCTAGGTATATAACTGAGAGAATCGAGAATATTTGTGCACGTAAAAACCTGGACACAGATGTCCATCGCAGCAGTATCCGTAAGGCCCACCGTGTAGGGGGGATGGAACCATCGAAAGATGGATGGAGAAACACAATTTGGTATCTGCATGCAGAGGGACGAACATTCTCCAGCCATAAAAAGGAATAAAGTACTGATCCGTGTGACAGCAAGGACGAGCCTTGAACACATTATGCTGAGTGAAGAACCAGACACGGAAGGTCACATAGGATATGACCTGTTGGTCTGAAATGTCCAGACTCGGGGCCCTGGGGTGGCTCATTGGATCATTGTCCACCTCTTGATTCCAGGTCAGGTCATGATCTGAGGGTCTTGGGATCAAGCCCCACTTTAGGCTCTGTGCTCAGCATGGAGTCTGCTTCTCTCTCTCTCTCTCTCTCTCAAATAAATAATAAAATCTGGAATGCCCAGAATAAGTAAACACATAACAACAGGAAGATTAGTGGCTGTCAAGGGCTGGGGAGGCTAAGGGGATGAGAAGTAACTGTTTACTGGGTATAGACATCCTCTGAAAGTGATGAAAACATCCTGGATCCAGATAAAGGTGAAGATTGCACGAGTCTGTGAATGAACTAAAAACCATGGAAGTGTATATACTTTACGTGCATGAATTGCACGTCACATAAGTTATATTTCAATATAGCTACTTTTTTCGAAAAAAGTCACGTGGGAGAACAAATATTGGGTGATCCCACTTCTATGAAGTACGCGCAGCAGTCAAATTCATGGATGCAGAGAGTAGAATGGTGGGTGCCAAGGCGGGAGGCGGGGGGAATGGGGAGCCTGTGGGGACAGAGCTTCAGTTTGGGAAGATGAGAAAGTTCTGGAGGTGGAGGGTGGTGATGGATGCACAATAATGTGAATGTGAAAATGGCTAAAATGTTATATGCTAAATTTTAAATTTGTTCCACCTTAATAATAAGAAAGGGAGATAAGGAACGGGATATTCATAGAGTGGGAAAGGATCATCCCCAAATTACCTGCTGGCCCAGAGGAGGAAACATGACGTCTCAATGGAGGGGGGAGGGCAGTTGTCACTCCCTGAACCCGGGCTCCAACTTCTCACCCTGACGGTGGGACCACCTGCAGGCACGACTTGTGATGCACACGAGGTTGGCCACGGTGTAATCTGGCAAAAATGGTCAACCCGTATACCACCCCAGGGGCGGTCCCACATCTAGCTCACAGAGAGCGAGGACTCAGGGGAACAGGTTAAAGGACACCACGTGGAAGCCCAGACACACTCAGGACACTGGGCTGGCCCTGTCTATGGGCCCGTGCCACCAACCTAGAGGGCAGGGTTAAAAAGGACTTGAGATGACCATCAGGGCCAGTGGCTAAAGAAAGGGAACCCGGCGTGGAACAGCCAGCTGGGGGTCGGGGGGGTGGGATTCGGGTTCAGTCTGACCACAGATGCCCCCCTCAGCCGGAACACAGCCCCAGAGGTGCCTACATCCAATCCCCGAACATGCGATGAGTCCTTGCGTGTGAGGTCACTCTGCAGGCGCGAACCCTGAGAGGGGAAGTCACCCGGGCCAAACTGATCATAGGCTCCTGGTGAGGGGCCGCGTGAGAGCGGGGGGCAGGGAGAGGCCGGGGTGCGGGTGCGAGCCGGGGTGTGCGGGCACCGCCAGAAGCTGGACAATGCGAGGAAGTCACCGACCGACCACGAGAGCCTCCAGGAGGAGCAGCCCTGCTGACCCCTTGCTTCAGCCCAAGGTCACACCCGTTGGGAGCTTCTGACCCCCAGAAAGGAAAGACGAGAAACTGGCGCTGTTTTCAGCCCCTCGTCACTACGGTCACTTGTGGCCACTACAGCGGCGGCAGGAAACCGACCCAGACGCTGCGGGCGCGTCTGCTCCTTGTCGGGGTGTCACACGGCACTGCGCTGAGCGGGAGATGCCCTCGTCCTGAGGATGTACAGACACCAGGGGTTAGGGGTGAGCCCATTTCTCTGGCAAAACCTCCCTACAGAGGAAGCAGACAGAGCCAAAGCGAGTAGCATCTCCGGGCCTGCTTGTTCTAGAATATCATTCTTGCATGCTTCAACTTTTCCATAATAAAAAGGTTACAAAAGTCTCACTGCAGGACAGGTGTCACCAGCTTTGGGGATTTGGGCCTGGGCAGTGAGGGGGCGGGGGAGCCACGAACCGATCGGCCTACAGAAGAGGCAATGAGCGCCAGTCCGTCCGGGCCAGCCCTCATCCCGGGCACCCCCCCCACCCCGAAGGCCTCCCCGGGCCGGGGCCCCTCCTCCTCGGGCGCTCCTCGCCCGTCCGTCAAACCTCCCAAAGGAGTCGTCCTCACTCTCGGACTTCCACTCCTCGGAAGGGAGTCCACGCAGTCCCCCACGTGCCACCGAAGCTGGCCTTGTCGGGGACGGTCGTGTTGCCACCTTGGATGGCGTCTCCCCACCCCTCGTGGCTGGATCTCTCAGCAGCTTTCGGCTCTGCAGACGGCGCCCGCCGCCCTCCCGAGCACCTGCTCTCCAGCCCCGGTGCTCTCCCCCGCTTACCTGGACTCCATCGGGCCCCTCAGCTCGGTGCTGGCCCGCCTCTCCCAGCCACCCGAAGTCCTCCCCCTGGGAGTTTCCTCCAGGGTCCACCCGCTTGCTGACAGCCACCAGCCACACGTGTCCGCCGGTGCCTCTCCTGTGAGCCCCAGCCACAGGTGCCCAACATCCCACCCGTCCCCGGGGTGAGTGGTAGGCACCCCCAAGCAGAACCCCTGGGGTGGGCGGGATGGCGGGCCCTCAAAAGACTCGTCCACCTAGAACCTGTGAATGTGAACTTGTTTAGAGAAAGGGCCTTTACAGGTGTGATGAAGGGTTTGGAAACGAGATTCCTGGAACAGAGTGGCCCTAATCCAATGACAAGTCCTTAGAAGACAAGGGGGGGCAGACAGGTGCACAAAATGAAGTCCTGCAAAGACTGGGGTGACATGGCCACACCCTGAGGGACACCTGGATCCACCAGAAGCTGGAAGGGGCAGGAAAGAGCCTCCAGAAGGAGCTCAGGCCTGTGGGTGCCTCAACTTGAGACTTCTGGCCTCCGGAGCTGGGAGAGCCACCAGGTCCACGGCCACCACCAGAAACCAATACACGGGCAGACCCCGAGGCGCCCCTGACGTTCACGACGAATCTTGGCCTTCCTCAGCCCTTCCCGTCTTGGACAACAGCACCACCACCCACTTGCCTGCTCTGACCTGGGTCCCTGACCGTCGCTTCACCCCCATTCCCAGCTCCTGTCTCCTGCATCCGTCGTCACCACCTGACCCAGCCATCGACAGCTGTCACCTGGACACCAGCAAGAACCTCTAGCGCGACCTATTGGCTTCCGCTCTTGCCGCCCGCAGACCGTTGTCTTAAATCAGTGAGGTAGTTCACATCTCACCCCCTCCTAAACCTTCAGTCACTCCCCATTGATCTTGGGACAAAATCCAGACCAGGGCCCCCATGAGAGAGCTCGATACTGGTCCCAATTCTTCACCTGTCTCAGCATCCAGCCCCTGCCATGGCCTCCTCCTCAGGGGTGAGGTTAACTCCTTGGCCCTTGACTTTGAACTTGGCCACTTGACTTGCTGATTCAATGGTTGCTGCCAGGAGTGGCCGCGTGGTGGCTCTGAGCTTGTACCTCCAAGGAGGCCCCCGACTCCACCTGCCTTCATGTGCCTCTGCCAATGCCCTGCCAAGCTGCTGGTCCCCGGAGGGTGAGAGGCCTGTGAGGCAGAGCCGGCCGGCCAAGCCCAGGCCAGAGCAGTGCCACCCCGGCTGCTACCCTACCGGCCTGTGAGCAGGCCTCGGTCACCGGCTGGCTCTGCCACCGAGTCCTGAGCGACTCTACAGCATGGTGGTGGCAACGGCTGACTGGTACAGCCTCAGAGGCACCACCCGACCTGGCTCGGGCCAACTTTCTGCCCCCATCTCACCCTTATTGCTCTCTTTGGTGACTATGCTCTCATGTTCGTGGTTTCTGGAAGGTTCTAAGCCTGCCCAGATTTAATTCCTCCCCCAAATTTCAGCTTGCATTTCACCTCCTCCGAACAGCCACCCTGGTCACCGCGTCCATCTGAAGATGTCCTCACAGCCACTCCCGGCCACATTGTTCTATGGATTCTCTTCCTAGCACAACCCAAATGCCACGCTGGTTGGATCACTGTCCCAAAACAGCAGCTCATGACACAGGGACAGACCGGCCTGCCACCGTTTCTCAGAATGTTGAATTGGATGTGTCCTGTTTTCTTAGAATTTCAGCTGAAGCCCGCGGCTGAAGACAATAAGTGATACATCCCCCGTCTTCTGAAGACAGGCGCTTATTCAGATAACACCTGTACTTGCCGAGAGCCCAAGCCACTTCTGAGACTCACACTCTACTCCAAAGAAAATAACAAGCTCCTATTTTCTAGAAGGTTAGAAACTCAATGCAGGGAGCAAAGACTTCTTTGGAGGGAATTGTCATCTTATGGGGGCTCTGGGCCTCACCCCACTCTCCCCACCACCGAAAATCAAGTGAAGAACATCTAGAGACGCCTTCTCAGGGACTGAGGGGGCCTGACATCTCAACTCCTCCACCCAGGGGGATGCTTGCCAAGCCGGTTCCGGATCAGGCCCCTGGGAGCAGCCCCTACTTCAAATCCCATAGGAAAGGGACAAGGGCTATTTCCCCAAGGGTCAAGTGCACACACAGGAGGCAGTAAGGGGGCAGGTCCCATCCTGAAACCTCCTCCGACTGAAGAGTCTCACTTGCCCGTGCAACACCCAGAGGCTAGGTGGTGGACAGTCAGAGGGAGGAGGTGGGCTTTATGAGGTCAGCAGGGGATCCCCATTGTGAGAGTCCCAAGTGGGGGGCCTCCAAACACCTCCCCAGTGCCTGGTAACCCCACAGAGGGCCTTTGGCAGCCAGGGGAGAGCCACATGCAGCCCCTCTCCTGCGCCCTGTCGCCTGGGCCCATCTCGGAGACCTCAAAGAAAGCTGGGCAGTGGGGGTGTGGGGGAAACAGTGGACAGGCGTGGGGACAGAGAGTGAAAGCACACAGCCCCCAGCCCCCAGCACAGTCCCCGTAAGCCCGGCTCAGCCCTGAGCCAGAGGAGGGGGCTTTGGTGGAGGAACGGTTGCAGTTTCTATCTGGGCCAGGCCGGGCTTTTAAAGATTTGCACAAAATCAATCAATCAATCAATCAATCAATAAATAAATAAATAAATAAATAAATAAATAAAGATTTGCACAAGACAGCTGTTGATTAACAGCAGAAAAAGGCCGAATGCTCTGGCGAATACCCAAGGCAGGGAGGGGACGTCAACAGGGTAGGTGTGCAGGGCCCCCCAAGCCACTCCCCGTGACTCCATCAGAGAGGCCTAGAGCCTAGAGGAACCTTCTAGCATGTGAAGTTCCATCACCGAGTCTGTCGGACGCCCAGGTGGGCAGCACGTCAGACCTCTCCGCTGGTCGCTGGCACATGCATCCGTCTCAAGGCCACTGCCCCACACTGCAGGGCACCAACCCATCTCTTTTCAGCACGCAGCTTTGCTACCCAAGCCTCTGTGTCGGCGGGGCAGAAATGACAGCCCCTCACGAGAAGGAAATGAGATACTTTATAGCTCTGGAAATACCAGATCCGAAAAAAAAAAAAAAAGAAAAGAAAAGAAAAGAAAAAGAAAAAAAAATACCAGATCCGATCTGTGTTTTTCCTGATTTAAGTATAATTCCGACACCCTGTGTGAGATGAGCCAGGGATGAAATCTACTGCAGTTTGCTACACGGTGGAGATAAATCATAAAGTTCTTTGAAGGTGGAATTTGGTAAAAAAAAAAAAAAAATAATAACTCTGATGTGAGCTCATTTCAAGCGCAGCCCTTCTCTGCAGATTGTGGCTTATACTTTGCTCCGGAGGGGCTGGGGGTGTGAAATAAAGTTCAGGATCCTGAGTTTCAACGCATCTAAATGAGGACAACCCCGTCCTGCCTTTCCCGTTGCAGCCCCTCCTGGGGGATAGAGACGTCATTTAAACCGTTCATTAGAACTGCGAGGAAGGTCCTGGACTCCTCCTCCCTTTTGGGGGTTAAAAGAAAAATGGAATTTATCTCCAATGCTGGCTGGTTCTTATCCCTGACCCCCTAGACTGTAATTCGTGAGGCCCTGGAGGAAGGATCTTTGAACCTGGAGGGCCATATTCCTTTCTGAACTCTTGTATTATTAACTTGATGTGAAAAGTACTATCTACATAAAGTTAGGGTTTTTTTAAAAAAATGTCGATACTAGACTAAGACCCAAACAGTCTAAAAGAAGAGTGGAAAGTCCTTAGGGCACAATGGTCTCAAGAGAGAAGAGAAAATCAAGGAGTGCCACGGGCTCTACAATCTGGGCACCGGAGGTCTGGGTCTGGATCTGGACGCGGCTGGCGCTGGAAGGCCATCTGTGGTCTCACTGCGACACCTGGTGGCCGCCCGCCCGCCCACCTGAGGCAGCGGCACCCAGCAGCGCCACCTGGCGTGAGCATCCCGCCCGCGCTGGGAGGCTGGGGAGGGTTCAGGACACCCCCCACCCAGGGGCCTGTCCTGTGGTCCCTGGGGCTCCTGCAGGAGAGGTGCCCTGCAGTTTGATTGCCTAAGGGGGACTGCCCCCCCTCCTGCCTCCCGCACGGCCGGCTGGTGCCAGCCCCGGCCCGTCCCGGCTGCGCTCGGGGGGAGCACTTCTGCGACTCTCTCAACATGAGTGCCAGTATTCCCTGGGGGTCTCACGAGGTGACTGAGGTCATAGCCACCAGGCAGCCTGGTTCACCCCTAGAGAAGCAGCATGGCCCGGGGTCAGCAACTTAACACCACCAGGCGTGTCTTAACACCAGGGTCTCTAAGGCCAGGCATTCTTCACTTTGCCATGTATGCGCTGTGTGACCCTGGGCAGGTTGCTGACTTCTCTGTTTCCTCAGTGAAAAATGGGCAGGGCCTAGAACGTGCTCAGGGCCGCTCAGCCGCAGCATCTCGGCTGTTTGTCAGAAATCTCGGGCGCCGCCCCTAACCTACGGAATGCAGGACCTCCGGGAGGTGGAGGCCAGCCACCTGTGGTTCTTCGCAAGCCCTCCCTGGGGCTGATGCTGAAGGTTGAAAACCTCTGACTTTCAGGATGGTTGAAAAGCCCTCATGAGATAATGCGTGGCCACTGTCTGGAATGGGGTAAGCGCTCCAGAAATGATTAATAGACTTCTCGAACTTTGGAGAGCTCATGTGGGGGGTTTCTCTTTCCTCTGTTTTTTTTTTTTTCTGTATTTTTTTTAAATAACAAATGTAACACGTGCTGTTAAACATGGAATTACCCCGTGATGGGATGCCTGGGTGGCTCAGCGGTTGAGCACCTGCCTTAGGCCCAAGGCGTGATCCTGGGGTCCTGGGATCGAGTCCCACATCGGGCTCCCTGCATGGAGCCTGCTTCTCTCTCTGCCTGTGTCTCTGCCTCTCTCTCTCTCTCTCTCTCTCTGTGTGTGTGTCTCTCTCTCATGAATAAATAATAAAATCTTTAATTAAAAAAAAGGAATTACCAAGTGACCCAGCAGTTCCCCTTTCAGATGTATCCCCAGGAGAAGTGAAAACAGGATCTCAAGCAAATCCTTACACACTCATGTTTATAGCACCATTACCCACAACAGTCAAAAGCTGGGT